CCAAACTAACCCTGACCCTCCTTATCAATACAGTTAAAGTCTGAAACCTACACAGTGTGCAGACTGTAGCACAGCTTCTGGGGGAGCTCACTTTATCAACTGTTGCACAGGGATATTCTGATATATTCTGATATATTCTGATCTGAAGTTAATGATATTTAGCTGTCACACTTCAGTGTTGATGGTAAGACTTTTTGATGATGAGTTGCCCTCACACACAAACCGATATATATCAATAGCAGCCTCAGTTGATATGTAATCCATTAAGATAAATCCAGAAAGATTACAAATTAAACAAATGGCAGATTTCAGTCCATCCAGGAAGCTGCGATGTAAATTCAAACAATTCCTGTGAATCTGCACAGATGTCAACTTCTCACATTTAACGGATCTTTGTAGTTTCTCCTGCAGTTTCATTGCAAAAAAAAGCCTAAAATGCATTTACATTATATATATTATTATAATATATATATTTATTATATTGTCAATATTTCAGAGACAGACCAATAGTGTGTAATCAGTGTCGGACTGTTTGAGGGTTGCCAGCACGCAGTAAGTCAGATTTGTAATTATTCTTTCAATACGCAGACAGTATACATCAACATTTAACTGTGATTTCGTCGTACGTTTATGGTTTGTTTGCAGTGAACAGTGTTTATTGTATCGAGGTCAACGGCGAGCAGGACTCAGCTGTCAATCATGACGTAAAACACCCTTTTTTATATCTTCAAATAACAAATTAAAACCCAACTGATGATAAAAATGAACCCTTGAACAAACATCAGCGTGATAAGAACGACCTAAAATGACAATATTTAGATTCTTTAATTTGTCATCTAACAAAGCTTTATGAGCCATACTGCAGTCGGCCACCAGGGGGAGATATACATTATTCTCTCTTCAAGAGTTGTTATAGTGAGGTTTTATTTTGTATTTTGTTTGTATTTCAGTGAGTTTGCTCGTTTTAGTTTAGTTTATATTGTTTAAAAATGTTTAGTTTCAGTTTTTTTTATCTGTTTCAGTGTTAGTTTTAGTTATTTTTATTATAATATGGAGGCATTGGTCAGAATAGGTATTATATTATAAACACACTGTCTTTAAACAGATGAACTCCTCTTGCTAAAGACATTTCCTGTATATTTTTATTAAAGTCCCATTTTAAGTTTTTTTTCCCATCTAGTTTTAGTTTTTAGTTTACTTTTAGTAAAATATAATAACAATAATATGTATGTTAAAGTTGAAATATCATTAAGAAGTAAAATAATAGGAGAACAACATCAACATATTTAATAAAATCAGACTATTTGTCTCCAAAAGTGAACGATTTGTCCGTAGTCCCAAAAATAAACGAACCAAACTGATGATCGTAGCAGAGGTCGTCATTTGGAGAAGTTTAAAGTTTCATAAGTTGTTCCTTGATAAGAAGAGTTCTGTGAATGAAGCTGACGTGTTTGCAGATGGTTTGTGTTGAAACAGATCAGATGATTAACCCCCCCACAGGGGTCAGTCTCTAGTTTCAGTCTTCTTCCATACAGCATAATGTTCATTTAGAAACTGATGGTCCCAATTAGAGTAAAACCATAAAGCAGGGTATGCTTTAGGGCGGGGCTGATCAGATATGGATCAACACTGTAAAAACTATTACTGAAATGTAACTCAAAAATATTAAGGCAACATTTTACACTCATTTTTTGTTAGATAGGTGAATTATTTTTTAAGTTAACTCAATAATATACAGTAGTCGAGCCAACATAAAAAAGCCCCAAAAAATTAGTTCAACCAACTTTATTCCATCAGAATAGTTTATTACAGAAATTTATTTTTTTTATCAATTTTAGTAACTTAAACCAAATAAAACACAATTAAAAAACAAGTTGAGATTTAATCATTAATGTAAAAAAAAAACATGTGGACAAAAGTACATGACATTTTTTTTGTCTTCCATATTATTATTATTATTATTATTATTATTATTATTACAATTATTGCCTCCCTTTCAAATTAAAACTGGTAATTCAATGTCTAAAATAAAATAAATGTAAATGCAGAATATAGTAAACAATATAAAGAATCAGACTGCCTCTCTTATACCCTCAGGAAGGAGTCGGTGATCTGTGATCCTCTAATGAACCAGAGGAACCTGGACGTTGATCCAAAATGAAAAAATAAAACCAAACAGCAGCAAACACACGAACCCAAAAGGGAAATAAAAAGTGTTTTTATTGTAAATTTATGGGAAATGAATAATAAAATCTAGAAACTTCAACTAGAAAATAATTAAAATAACCTTCTGTGACAGAATATATCATATTATTACCATCAGAGCAGCGATGGATGGATTCCTGTGATAATATATAATATCAGAAACTCAACCTTTATTCATACAGATTTCCTTTCTGGTGAGATGCATTGTGAGTTTCATATGCCAGTGGAAGAGCAGAAAGAAAACAAAAAGAAGAAGATAAATCACTTCCTCTCCTCTTTTGGTATGACTGTAAATTCCCACTTGTCTCAGCTATAATCTCAATTTTTCTTCTTGTTCCTTCTTCTCGTTGTTTGCTCACCTTTCATCCTACTACTGTCTGTCAGTAAAGCAGAACTGAGACTTTACTTACTTTGAGTTGTTGGGTTTTTTGTATGTTTGGATTGCAACAGAAAAAAACATGAATGTGCAGAAATCATGAGAAAGTTAAAGACGCTCCAGAAACGCCACTTAAACACTAGTAAAACAGCAAAGCAGCTTTCAGTTTCCTTAAAGGTTATGTAATGAGATTATGAATATTAATATATCAGCAAACAGCTATTCTACTGTTAGTGGAACAAACAACAACTACTGTTAGTGGAACAAACAACAACTACTACTGCCCAGAAAACAAACTGACAGTTTGCAGATGAAGAGAAGATCTCCTCTTCCTCACTGTTAGGCCCTTCACAGCGACCTTCCGTGGCCACAGGAGAGTAACGCAGTTAACTTGTATTCGTGTTATTATTTTATATATATCATATAAGTCAACCTGGTTGGGTAATTCTGTAAAAATAACTTATTGATTAATTTTACTATAACAAACAATTATAATTTTATGTTACATTATTTTCTTGATTTTATGGAATTAGAACTTTTCTTTACTCTATAATTTTTTAATGCTTTGGCAGTAATGCTCTGAACTGTAACTATAAAACAAACATGGATAGGGTTATAGTTAAAAGCCAATCCTGCTAGACCAGTGCTTTGATATTAAGTTGTGCTATAAAGAATACACCAGTATTCCTTCATGAAGAAAAACTCTCTCTGCATCAGGTCAAAACTGGTTTGGGAATTCACTGTGTTATCATCAAATGTGAGCACCAAGAACATTCAGAGAAAATGAAATAAATGCTGAGTCATATAAACACAAAAAGGTTTATTTCAACTTAAACCAAGGGCGCGGAAGAGCCTGCTGACCCCCCTGTGAAGCTGTTGCGCGACACTGTAGTGGTGTTGGGAGGAACCGAGTCAGGGGCGGATAATAATGATCTATCAGAGACTGGACTGGAGTTTCCGGGTATGATTAATGATTTCGCGATCGTAGTATAAGTGGAATTGGTGGAACGATAAAGTCTTTACTTCCTTTGAAAACAGCCGTTTTTTGAATGGAGTTTGGGTCGGGACAGTGTGGGAGCAGAGGGGGATTTGACCTTACATAATTTCCATAAAACTGAGCTGACCGACCTTCTAATAATGAAACCTTGGAAACAGCAGAAAGTAACAGACGACAGAAAACAGTTAAAAGAGTCTGAATCACAGAACGGACACTCATCCAACATATATTTCTCATTTTTGACATAATATATTTATGGAATTTTCCCATTGTGGGACTAATAAAGGAATATCTATTCTTATTCTCTGTATTTGCCTCACTGGCTTGAAGGATTTGGCTCTACAGCTAAAAAATGTAATATAATTACAATTTTATTATGTATTAAAATTGGCAAAAGCTTAGAATTTACATTTACACTAGTCAAAATTAGAGGTTTCATCCAAAAAACCATCA